TAGTCATTGATATTCTAGCATTCTGCTACGCTATCTTGCACTACGTGATAGAGGTCAGTCTCGGTCAGGTCAGGACTTGTATCTAAGTCTTCCCTGCGTCATAAAGCACCATTTTTGTATGTATCAGAATGTACACTGCTTGTTGAGATTTCACTTGCACTGCATTGTCCATTCAGTCCTTTTTATCACATTGCGGATCCTCGGTTATTATGTACATCGCCCAACCGGGCATGTAACATGTAAGCGGCTTGGCAGTTCATCGAATCTGGGTACCTAGGGCTTCAGAAACGATTCAAGGAACGAGCTGATGAACTGCTCCTGCAGGTCAAGTGATCAAGTTCTCATCATGAAATGCAACAAAACACATAATTTATTAATTTCGCCAAATCTGTCGATCTATCTCCAACACGGAAATTGCAATCAACTGTGTCATAACCATAGGGCTTACTTATGTTCTAACTACCACTCCCAATTGTGATAAACGGTGCAGAGCTTAACCACTCCCCACCCAAGATGTCTTTGTGGGATTGCAGACTTTGCATTGGTTTCAACTTTGAACTTTCAAAGAAACAGTTGAACTCCGGTTATCTGGATGCTTTTTAAGTTTTTACATATGCTTTCTACTCCACAGAGAAAAACCTCTCGCTGGTCCTTCTCTCCTTCCCTGTGTTTTTTCACGTGTGTGTGTGTGTGTGTGTGTGTGTGTGTGTGTGTGTGTGTGTGTGTGTGTGTGTGTGTGTGTGTGTGTGTGTGTGTTGAATTTTCAACACAGCAGCCCCTATTCTTGCCAGATCAGTGGGAGTTGAGGCAATCCAACAATGAAACTGTTTTACCTTTATAAGTTTATAGTCAGCAACACAGAGCATAATAGAAGCTTTTAAATACCTTTGTGTGTGTAGGCGTGTGCCTGTTTGGATGTGTGTTTGTGCTTGTGTGTGTGTGTGTGTGTGTGTGTGTGTGTGTGTGTGTGTGTGCGTGTGTGTGTGTGTGTGTGTGTGTTTGTGTGTGTGTGTGTGTGTTCACTGTACACGTCTCCACACACACAAAAAAAGCATGACTGTGCCTGACTGTTTCGTCGGACTTTCACCGACTCATCAGGAGGTCGAACCCCGACAGTCTGCCCAGGATGCATTTGACTGATGGATAAGGACTCACCACGTCCCCCAGAGTTAGCGTTACCCCTGAGAGAGCAATAAAATGTGTGTGTGCTGTGACACTGATTCTTTACACATTGATGTTGGTAGGGTGTATGTTGATGGCGTTGAAGGACGGAAGACAGCTCTGCAAGATGCGCAGCTGGACCATGATGGATACTTGTCAATTGGAGGGGCAGAGTTTGATCCATTCGCTGGAGTGATTGATGAGGTAGGCAGGTGATGATCACCTTTTGTCAGTTAACTAGATGGAATTCATACAACTGCGGTGTGATACAATTCATACAATGGTACAACAGGCAATTAATCAAGGGCATGCGATAGAAAAGATAGTAGTTAATGAAGCATGTGCCGAAATTAACCATTGGGACTGTTGTAAATTTTCAATTATTTAATTATTTTTTAATTACTTTTGTTAGGGAGGCACACTAGCTAAAGTAATGTGATGGTACAGTGGGAGACACTGCAGCTGGCACTCAGCAGTATGTTCACTATTACAATTTAGTAAATTTACCATACTTGCGGTGCACCGGCACTGTGCGCTCCGCGGTGTGCTGCGCAGTGCGCTGTGCGCGGACCCAGGGTGCACGCGCACCGGCACGCGCCGCGCATCTGGGTGCGCAGTGTGCGCTGTGCGGTGCTCTGCACACGTCTGGTGTGCTGCGCGAATGTGCGCAATGTATATTTCCATGTTCTAGCGATAGATTCATTTGATTTTGTTCTCTCTCTCTCTCTCTCTCTCTCTCTCTCCCCTCCCGACTTCTTCCTCCACTTCCCACCTTCGGCCTTTCTCCTGCCTTCCTCCATCCACCATCACTACTTCTCTCTCCCTCTTCCT